CTCCCCACCTATACAGCGACTGCTCTGGCCAAATCTGTCCAATGTAATTCTTTTGGAACCCTAGGGTCTATTGAAAGCTTGCGACTGCCCAGGAAAGACTTGTTTGGTGAATTGTGGTTTAGTGCAGTTAATTTCAGCTCTTAGCACATCAATGGCGATGCATCTTTCACCGCCCAGCCTCAAGGTAGCCAGTCCTATGTATTTCCTGAAACAATATGCACACAGCTCTCAGGATCCAAGGTGGGCAATATCAGGGCTCCATGCTCTGATCTTCCAAATATCGGGGCTCTATGCTCTGATCGCTGATTGCTACTTCTAATCATGGAGGTGTAGACACAGAAGTGGGAAAGCCACTGTTCCAAGTTCCTCCCCTTCCAGGTGAAGACCCTTCAAATTTAAAGGGCCAGAGCCTTTTTCTCTTCTTTTATTACCCCTCTTTACTTTTCTCTTTTTCTCCTTTTAGGAGTCAAACATTTAAAGACTACATACAGTATTCAAAAGCAGCCACTTACACAAAGAAGTTTTAGGTTTCTGTACATGCTCAGGGAAGAGTACAGGCTCAAAGAAGACCTTAAGATTACACCTCAGAGTGAACCCCCACACAGGCAGTGCAAACCATGGGTAAAGGGGAGAATCTGATTTCCAGAGTTACTATATTAAAAGATTCCAATGTCCAGTTTTCAATAAAAATCACAAGGCATACAAAGAAATAAGAGAGTGTGGCACACTCAATGAAAAATAAATAAACAGAAACCACCCCTGAAAAATAAGGTGGATCTAAGAGACAAAGAATTTAAAACAATTGTCTTGAAGATACTAAAAGAACTAAAGGAAGACATGAAGAAAGTCAATAAAATGATGAAAAAAATGAAAATAAAAATAAAAATGAAAATATAAAATCACACCAAATAAAATTCTGGAGCAGAAAGTATAATAATTGATACGAAAATTTCATTAGAAGGATTCAAAAGCACATTTAAGCAGGGAGAATAAAGAATCAGTGAACCTCAATGTAGGATAATTGGAATGATCAAATACATGTGACAGAAAGAAAAAGGACAAAAAAGTGAAGAGAGCCTAAGGAACCTGTGGGACATCATCAAGACCATGAACATACACATTGTGAATCCCAGGAGGGAAAGATTATTTGAAGAAATAATTGCCATAACTTCCCAAATTTGAGGAAATACAAGAATATAAACATCCAAGAAGCTCAATACTCCAAGATGAATTCAAAGAAACCCACACCGAGACACATTATAATCAAACTGTCAAGAGCAAGTCAAAGATAAAGGGAGAAACTTGAAAGTAGTAAGAGAGAAGCAACTGATCACATACAAAGGATCCTCAATAAGAATATCAGCAAAAATTTTTATCAGAAATCTTATAGGCCAGAAAGTAGTGGTATGATATACTCAAAGGACTAACCGAAAAAAAAACTGTCAACCAGAATCCTATGTTAGGCTAAACTGTCTTTTAAAAGTGAGGGAAAAACTGAAACATTCCCAGATAAAAATTGAAAAAGTTTATTACTATTAAATCTGTCTTGAAAGAAATGCTGCTGGGAATCCTTCAGGCTGAGATGTAAGGACACAATACAATAACCTGAAGCCATTTGAAAAAATAAAGATCTTAGTAACAATAAATACATGAGAGAAAGTAAAAACATCTAGTATTATTCTAACTTTGATTTGTAACTTTGCCTTTTGTAATTTACATGATTTAAGAGACTAATACATTCAATAAAACAATAATTAGTCTAAAAGCTAGTATTACGTGAATCCATTTTTTTTATGATTTAAAGTCTCGTACATAAAGACACAATCATTAGTCTCTGTTTCTGGACATAGAGCATATATAGAGAGAGATGTTATTCTGTGAAAAAAATAAAAGGGGCGGAGATGGAACTGTATAGAAGAAAAATTTTTATATGATTTTGAAGTTAAGCTGGCATAAACTCAAATTTAAGGTTTATAACTTTAGGATGTTAATGTAATCCTTTGGGTAACTACAAAGAAAAGAGCTATAGAATATACACAAAAGAAAATGAGAAGGGAATTAAATGTTTGTTTGTGAAAATATATCAACTAAACACAAAAGACCAAAGTAATGAGGGAAATATGGGAGGCGGCATTATAAGGCTTACAGAAAATACACAGCAAATGACAGAAGTTACTCGTTATAAGTAACTACTTTAAGCGTAAACGGATTGAACTCTCCAAATGAAAGAAATTGAAAGAAAAGATTTATAAATATGATGCACTTATAGGTTGTCTACAGGAGACTTTAGATCCAAAAATTATTAAGCCTTAAAAAAACACTTCTAACATGCCACAACATGCCTGAACCTTAAATACATTATGCTACATGAAATAAGCCAGTCACAAAAGGACAAGCACTATATGATCCCACTCATGTGAGGAACCATTCATAAAAACAAAAATTTGAATGGTAGTTGCCAAGGCTATGGGGAAGACTTAATGGGGAATTAGTGTTTAACTGGTATAGAGTTTCAGCTTTGCAAGATTAAAAGAGTTCATAAGATAAGATGGTGGTGATGTTTGCACAACAATGTGAATGTGCTTAATACCACTGAACTCCAACTGAAAAATGGTTAAGATGGTAAACTTCATGTGCATTTTAGCACAATTTTTTAAAAGTTGAAAAAAAAGGCAAATCATCAAAATAAAGAGTGAAACTGGGACCATCGCTACTGACACTGCAGAAATTAAAAGTCTTATAAGACATAGGATGACTTTATGCCAACAAATTAGACAATTGGGTGATATGAACGAATTTCTAGAATGACACAAATAACCAAAACTGAACTGACTCAAAAGAAGTAGAAAAGCTGAACCCATCTAAAACAAGCAAAGAAGAAAGAGAGAGAGAGAGAGAGAGAAAGATATAGTAATTAACATCTTCTCACAAAGAAAAGCCCATGCCTACAATGTTTTACTGGTGAATTCTATCAAATTTTTAATAAAGAAATAATACCAGTCCTACATACAATTTTTCAGGCAACAGAGAAGACATTTCCCAACTCACTGTGTTACTGATACCAAATCCAGAGACATCATAAGGAAATTAACCTACAGACCAATGTTCCTCATAAACAAAATTCCTTAAAAAATATACTACCACCAAATCAAACAACACATTAAAAGGATTACGCAACATGCCTAAGTGCAATTTTTCCTAGAAATGCAAGGTTATTTTAACACTCAAAAATCATGTACCTTTCTTTGTCTTCATCAGAAGGTTTCTTTCCTATGAGCTACTGACAGAGGGTTTTTGAAAAAATCAAGTCTAACCCATAAATTTGTCAACTCAATATGTCACTGCAAGCCAACATAAAATACTGCCAAACTGCATTGCCAGTGAGGGGCATCCCTAAAGAACAAGGGTGAGAAGAAACTCTCCCTTTGGAAAGAGCCTACATCTTCTTTGAATGAAAAGGGAAGAAACCTAAATATATACAGGGGTGGGCAAAAGAAGGCTAAATTACCCACCATCATTACCTAAAAGATAAATTATAAGTAAGGATACAAAATAATAACAATAATCAGAGAAAGACAAAGAACACAAATAACATAATAATTAATAAATAAGAATAAACTCTGCTTTGCATACTCCCAACTGTACACCTGTTTTTGCCTACCCCTTCCTATACACAGCCTGCCACACAGCGGGAACCGGCTCAGTTACTTGCCTGTGGCTCAGGAGGAGCAAACCTGCAAGATGAAGACAGGCGTCAACTATACTTGAGGGGTGAGCCCTTTTTCCTAACTTTTTTTCAAATCACATCACCACTGTATTGGTCACATAAAATTTCTGTTACAATGTCTCCTAGGGAAATAATCTGAACAATCCAGATTCCTTTAATGTATATTTAGTATTAAAAGTTGTCCTGTGCTTACCACTTTTATTATGTATCTGGAGCATCTAAAACAAACAGTAATTACTGGGTGTTCTACGTATTGTTTGTTGCCAAACTGATGCATAAACAATCTGAGCTGTCATCTCCCGCTACTGAAAAATAAGCAAAATTTAATTAAGTATGCTGTACAATCATTTTCAAAGCTTTATACATTTTATTAAGAATTATCCAAGACTGTATTTTGAAGATTCCCGTTATAATCAGAATTTATTTTCACTTAACAACTCCTAAAAGTCACAACAGAACAAAATATGGCATAAACAAGTTATATACACACTATAACATATAATTACATATATAGTATAAAATAAAAACATCTTTTCTTAAACAATTATTGCTATATATCTACTTTGGAAAAATACATATGGCCTATTCTAGTCTTTATTTAAAACTATAATTGTCTCTTATTCATAAATTCTATTTCAAAAATAGAAATTTAACCATTAATCTGCAAATGTATGTATGTATGTGTACTACATATTCATTGTTCTACTTGTTTCCTGCAGAGCAGTATCAGAAACCGCAGTTACTATTTCCCAAAATATTTTCAAAACAAATGTATTGATAGTAGCTTTCTTATAGTGATTATTTATATTTCTAACAGTTAGTGAGTATTTTCTATGTACCAGGTACTAGTAAAAACACATTACATGCTTTAACTTATTTTCACACCCAGCCAATGGAGTAGTTGTTATTATGATCTACATTATACAGATGAAGAAACTGAGGCACAGATAGCTTAAAAAGTTTTTATACCATGCCAGATTCAATGCAACTAATTCATAGATTTTTATCCCTTACTACTCTTTATTTTCAAACTTCATTCTGACGTTTTGCATGTCTGTAGGGTACCCTTTGCGTGTCTATATGTTACCTCACATTATCAGATAAAACACTCCTTTCTAAAAACGACTGCCATTCCAGATTTCTTTCAAAGTTGACTTCCAGTGAAGTAAGTACTTACCAACACCAAGCACTGCCTCATAACCAAAGACCGACTAGATATTTTGTGCTCATTTAAAAAAGGTTGTTACATCCAAGATTACTCTTTCGAGCAAAGCTATCGTGTAGAATGGAAGGGCAGATAAAGTGCTTCCCAGATAAGGTCAAGTTAAAGGAGTTCATCACCACCAAGCCCTTATTATATGAAATGTTAAAGGGATTATCTAAGAAAAAGAAGATGATCAAAACTATTAACAGTAAAATGACAAAAAACTCACAACTATCAACAACTGAACCTAATACAAAAACAGAGACAAACCAAGCAAACAACTAGACCAGGAACAGAATCACAGAAACAGAGGGTTATCAGTGGGGAAGAGAGGGGAGAATGGGGGGAAAGGCGCAGGGAATAAGAAGCATAAATGGTAGGTACAAAATAGACAGGGAAAGTTAAGAATAGTACAGGAAATGGAGAAGCCAAAGAACTTACATGTAGGACCCATGGATATGAACTGGGGGAAGGGGCGCTGCGTGGGATGCTGGTCGGGGGGTGCAGGACAGAGGGGAAAAAAGGGGAGAAAAATGGAGCAACTGCAATCACACAGTCAGTAAAATATATTTAAAAAATAAAAATAAAATGAGGACCAAATAAAAGAGAAACTAAAAATAAAAAAAAATAAAAAGGTTGTTACATTCTCTAGTTCCCAAAATGATCATTCAAGAATAAACAAGCAAGCAACAAACATACACACACATACACACACGAGAACCTACAAAACATCCTGAAGAGACCAGTAACTTTTGGAGAAAGTCTGCAAATAAAACACAATTACCTTGAAAAATTAAATAGTGATATGTTAGAGTAGGCCGAAACTATGGGAAAGAGAAGAAAATTTTCTAAAGATAAGTACAGCAACTTCTATACTGAAAACAGTATCTGGTCAAGATAAAATAATGCATTATACTTCTGGTCCATTTCTAGCACAGTGACATTTTTACTACTGTATTTACTCTGAACTAAGTTTAGCACAGAATTCCTGTGACTCTGTCTACAGCATGGACTCCAAATACAGGAGGGGCAGGGTCTAAGCATTTCCACACACAGTCCAGGATTATCTTCTCTCGCAAAATAATTCAGGAAGTTACCCACAAACCCCAACCCCGGCTGTACATCAGAATAACCTGGAGTGTGAGATCCTAAGGGCAAAGCCGCAGCCTGACCAATTAAAGCAGAATCTAAAAATGAGGTCCAGCCACCAGAATTTTTTAAAGTGCCCTTTCCTAATTCCAATGCAAAGCCTAGGGTGAAAAGGACTGTTGTTAGAGCCCCTTTTCCAAATGTTTTAATAGGCAAGAGCATTTCAAGTATTGATGTCTTCAACCAAGAACTACTAAACACCATGTTGCCCTAGACTCTCCAGAGCACCCACAAGCAATACAAGCAGCAGCCAGGTGGTTACTACTACCCTCGGATGAATAATGGTGGTGGTAAAAGGGTGAATAGTATTCGAGGCAATTAAACCAGTTTTTTTGTTGCTGTTTTCTTATTTTGTTTTAAAATTTTGACTATAACAAGTATATTGATCTATTCTTAGTCCACAAAACCATGCTTCTTATATTTATCTTGTCAAAGTTATGATTTTTCCTTGAATGGGACTTAAAAAATTTTTATTTTTGCCCTGACTGGTGTGGCCCAGCGAGTTGGGCATCATTCCACAAACCGAAAGGCCACCAGTTCAATTCCGGATCAGGGCACATGCCCGGGTTGCAGACCAGGTCCCTGCTGGGGGGCGTGCGAGAGGCAACCTATTGATGTTTCTCTCACACGTTGATGTTTCTTGCCCCCTCTTTCTCTCACTTCCCCTCTCTCTAAAAAATAAATAAATAAAATCTTTAAATTTTTTTATTGTTTAGAAGTATAATATTTGGTTCTCTGCCTTTGCAACAGCTATTTCACGTTAATTCACTTACTGATTGATTCGCTCCATGCTAGGAATTGGGGAGGAGGGCAGAGCCAAAAATAGGCTCTTAAAGGATTTTACGGGAAAAACACAGGAAGGGAAAAACACACACAAGGAATAATATGACATAAGTGCTAAAACATGGACTAATGACCTAGAGTTTATGGGAAACTCTTCTTCAAATAATTTAACTACTTTTCAAAAGGCAATATAAATAATTAATAAAAGCAGGCTTTGGAGTTGGACACGCCTGAGTTTAAAATCTCAGTTCTTTATTTGGTAAGTTTTATATCCACGGGCAATTTACCTCCTATCTCTGAGCCTCGTCCATAAAACAGTGAGGCGCTCTCCTAGCAAACACTTGTCTCCCTTTTTTGCTCCTTTACACACCAGGAGTTGGGGTACTCTGGTCCATTTAGAAGAAAAAGGGTTTATGTTAGATTAGCCTCTTTCTCTGCCCTCCCTTTCTTTTTGGAGATAACTGCTTCAAAATGTAACTTTTGGGTAGGCCCCACATTTGAAGAAGGGCTCCTTTGTGCCCACGTGGGTAAGCCTAATGATTTTTCATTGATAAACCCATTTTCCCATGGATGTAAATCACACGCATCAATACTGCTTTTGGCTTTTTTAATAAATGTGACATTTTGCTCATCAATTGTCTTTCTCCCATCTCTCTCTAAAGTGATTTAGAATTCAGGCAAGGAACTGGGGTACTATTATTAGACTCCATTTGAACATCAGTATCATCCTACTTTATAGAGTTGCGGTAAGCTTTAAATGAGACAATACATATGAAACTCCCAGCACAGTATCTGGAACATAGTAAGCGCTCTAAATTAACTGCTAATGAAATCATAAAAGACTCAAAGATATAAAGCATTTATCAATTCATTATAAGATATCTAAATATCAATTCAAATGTAATATTCTTTTTAAAATATATCAATAAACAAAGAAACCTCCACTTGTTGAAAAAAGGTAATCTGTTATTAGTTATAATAAGGCATTTATAAAATCAGAACAAACATTCTTTAGGCAGGGAACATTCTTTATAGCCCATAAAATCCTCAGGAACTATTCCATACAGAAAATTGAATACAGTGTGCATAGCAGAATCAGACAATGCTATAATATATAAAATAATAAAATTATAATATTTTAGAATCAGATTGATATCTAAAAGTTGTAAGAAAGATATGCTAGTCAGTTTATCCTATAAATTCAACTGGATTAGCAGTAGCCAAAAGCACACAAAAAACCTAAATAAAGATATATTTCATCTGATAAATATATATAATAGAAAATTGAGTCTTCAAAATGAGCCTGGGAAGCTTGCTAATAGCAGCAAAGTTTATTAACTTGAGATCTATGGACCATCAGAAGTTTTGTGAAACTCCTGATATTATTTGTAAAATATACATGTATGTAACATGTACATACATATGTGGTTAAAAATCCTCTATCCTTTGATTATATTCTCAAAGATTACCACTCAAAAAAGGTAAAGATAGTGAAGCATCACTTTATTCTTCAAGTGATCACTCCAAAAGTATTCATTTATTCAGGTTTTTAGTAAATTTTCTTGCAGTATGATATTTTCAATTTGGATAATTTTGGTATATAACAAACTTTTAAAGAATCAAAAATAGACTCTACCAAGAAGAATCTACTTTTTAAAAATGGCTACTTACCTTTTAAGTGTTCTTCTGCCACTTCTTCATTAACATGCAGCGCCTTTACTGCTGTTCTCGAGTCCATTGTGTCCTTTTCCTGTATCTCTTCACTTGGTAGCTTTTCGAGTAAATTTTCAGTGCAGCTGGTGTTATTCTTCAAACCAGTAGGTAGTTCCCAACATGAAGCTGCTGCACACTTATCCAATGTACTGGTACTTTGGGGATTATGTTTTTGGCTTTTCCTTAAGAGGTTCTTACGGACATCTCTTTTCTTTACAGTTTTCTGCTTTTTGAGCTTCTGTTTCTCGGTGCATGTACAATTGATATGTTCTCTTTTGTAGCAATTATGATCTAACAATGGGCAAATAGGCTTCCTCTGTAATTTATATTGGATTTTGGTAGATCCAACAGAGGTAACATGAAGATGATCTGAATCTTTAGAATATATGGCAAGGCCAGATGCAACTAAGATATCTGCCAGACTATTTTTGTCACGAATGACATCTACTTTCAGTTTTGTTTCAAAACTACATTCCCTAAACTGAAAAACTAAGCCTGGTTTACTCAGGAAATCTAGAAAGAAACTTTTGGCCTCTTCATTCCAGTGTTTCCCTTTAGCAGGTAAGATACCATGTAAGACACAAGGATAACTTAGCCTTGGCAAATTCAGAAGTTCCTCGGGAACAACTTTAAGCTTGTGCATACCTGAATAAGGTATGTGAATGGAAAATCCATAGTCAATCAACACAACAAGTAAAGACTGATCAGAGACTTCAGAAATTTCTACTCTATTCCACTGATCTTCCGATTCATATTTGAACAAACAACTAGAACCAGGAGCTATGTGCTCTTGAGACACTGTTTGTAAGTTTTCTGGGAGATCAGAAAGCAAGGTAAAGACAGATTTCATTGTGTCAAAGAAATCTTCTAACTGAATGCAGAAGTCTGATGGATCAGAAACAGCAGTGGCAATACCAGGATATCGCCTACCATTTTCGAGCTGTGCCCAAGTGAATGACCTTATTGTCCATGATGCCACAGAAGTCTTAGATTCCACATTGTAATTAGTTTCTGAAGATCTAAGTTTGTTTTCTTCAACATGAACTGTATTGGAATTTAAATATTCCAAAAGTAACAGGCCATCTACCAAAATTTCTACCTCCCAGGCAGAGTCTACACATTTCAGGAAAAGGATGTCTATTTCCACCTGAGCAAATAAATGCACAACGGACTCAAATGGCACGGTCTTAAAATTTTCAAACCAAATCCATTTACAAGGCACAGCTTGTCTTGGAATATTTCTAATCTCTTTTCTAAGCACCCTGATATTACATAAAGGCACTATTTCATACCTACCACAATCTACTAAAAAGACAAGCACTTTCTCATCGACGCACTTTTTTTCTACTTTAGATCGATACCACTTCAAAGTACTCTTAGATTTTGCCAAGCATTCTAAGCCTTTTTCAATATTTTCCACTGATGAAAAAGGTTTCTTTATTTCTTCAGCAATTAACACTGTTAAATCTGATAATTTCTTTTTATTTTTAGATAACTTCACGTAAAATGCCCCACTGTTTGAAACACCAAGTATTTCGGCCTTTTCAAGTTGTCCAGGTTTTACCTGTTCAGAAGGAATAGAAACTGGCTGTTGGTGGGATGGGTGAAGGATCACAGGACTTTCAAACTCACTGGCTCTTCCTTTCTTCACTTGTCTCTCAGCACCAGGCCTCGCCTTCTGAGGAACAGCCTGAGGCATTGGCAATACTGTTTTCTGTAATTTTGAACATGCTGTCCACTTCAGTAGTTCATTAATGACACATTTTTCATCACAAATTATATTTACTTCCCATTTCTGCTCATGCTTTTTCAAAAATTCGCAAGAAATTGTTCTGTCACTTACTTTGGAAGTGAAATAATCTACCATTTGACGGTCCCATATTTCCCCAGGCTCATTCCACTTTACTCCGCTAAGAAAGGAATGGATTCCTAGCTGAGGAATGGTTAAGAATTCTCTCTTAAATTCATAAATTTTAGATACATTTACTACTTCAGTGTTGCCGTAGTCAATAAATTCCACTTCAAATAAATTTCCGAGCAAAATTTTCTTAATGACTGCTCTGTAAATGGCACTGTCAGCAGAGTATTCTGCAATTACAAGATCTCCCACCCTATGTTGAACTGATTTTCTCTCACTCATTATATCTGCTTTTCTTTCATTCAGAGCATCTGCAAGTCTGACGATTACATTTTCATTCTCAGCAAGATGAATATGGAAACTCGCTGGATTACTGATATTAGAAACATATCCTTTAACTTTGGCATTCAAGTGAATTTTGGGTTGAGGAAGGTCTTTGATCTGTGGCCTTGGAAGACTATACAGGTTCTGTGAGGCCACCTGACATAATTCCCTGATAAAAGACTGTGGCGCGGCCCTGGCTGATTTCCCGCCCACATCACTTTCATCAGGAGCATGTGTGGACCCAGGGACAATTTTTATGCCTTTATTTTTAAGTCCATCATTCAAAGACTTTTTTGCTTTGTTTTTTGACCCAGGTTCAATTTTATAACAAGCTGATGGTTTCAAAAGCCTGGCATATATACTTTTGGAATTCATTAATTGCTGTATTTTGCTTTCAGAATATGTTACTAGACTAGTTTTACTTATCATATCATGGTGATAGTTTTCTATTTGGCCTTTTAAAGAAACAGCAAGTCTCTTATTCTCATTTATTTTATGACCCTTTTCCACACAGTGTCTTGGGTCACAATGTTTTTCTCCATAAGCATGAAGCAACATTTTAATTTTCTGATTTATATGTTGATACCCATCAAACAATTCCACACCAAGCTGGCCATCTGACTCCCTGGACAATATTACTGCCCTTAATGGTTTCCCCAAGAAATTATCTTCAAACCAGCTGCTTATTTCTGCTGGAATGTCTACATCTCTAAAGTCTGACAAAAAGCACTTAACAGCTTGCACAGGTGTGTACAGCAGCTCTGGAAACTGATCAGATATAGCCCTCAGCATACTTCCTTCTGCTAACTGCTTATTTCCAAAATCCACAAAATAGACCACAAAGTCAGAAAATGAACCCGATTTTGGCATTGCTAAAGCTCTATAAGAGAGACCATCCTCTACATATTTACATATGCACAATCTCCTTTTGCTAGAATATTTTGGACAACTTTTGAGGTTATTGATCTCGGTGATTTTTGTTTCTATCATCACTAGGTCTTTATTATTTCTACTAAGTTGGCAATAAAACTTTTTGGGACTATATATATGGGATATATATATTTCTTCCTCACTTCCAATTTTTATATCAAAGGAAGAATAACAGTAACTGTAAAGACTAACTGGAGATGGCATTGGTTTCAATAATGTACTATAATGGGCAGAGCCATGATTAATAAGAAATTCCTTTGCACTAGTAAATGGAGATTGTAAATCCACCAAATTACATAAATGATTTGAATGTATGATAATCAAGGCACAGATGACACAAGTCAATAACCCTCTAGACAAAGAAATAAAATTCCTGAAGTCTCTGTACGCTTCCCCTGTCCAACTTAATAGTTTACAACTAGCGAGTTCAACTAAATGGTTAAGTCTACATCTGAAGGCTTGGCCTTCTAAAAAAAGAAAATATGGGTTAATCGCACAAAGATCTTTAATTAAAACTCTTTCCTGATAACCATAATCAACAAATACTACATCAACTTCTTTATTTGATACTCGAGTCAAAACAGCAGCTCTGTACCACTTCCTATCTTTGGAATACTTAGCAACGCAAGCAATCTGCCCAATCTGATAAGGATCAGAATGAATGCTATAGTAAGTCTGAATTTGTTCCATTAGTAATTTTAGGTCATCTAACTTACACTGAAGCTGGCAGGAAAAGTCATCTGGACCACAACAGTAAGAACACTTAACTTCAAGGATGGTCCCTGGTTTAAACACATATTCTTTGTAAGGCCAAGGTGACTCAGGATCCATAGACAAGGTGAAAGGATTTTTTAAATTTGAGAAGTTAACAGCTGGGGACTTCAACAAAGACAAATTACTTTCTTTTAGCTTACTTGAATAATACTTTTTAGGTTTAGGTCCTTCAGGAAGGGCAGATAAAATCTTTTTAATATTAACTTTGTTTTTAGATTTTAAATTTAATACCGAATATTGATTCACAGATTCTGGATAACATTCTGGTTCTACTTCCCAATATTCCGCATATCCAGCTTGTACCATAAGAGAGACAACATCCATATTTTCTGAGGCTTCAATACTCTGAATATTTACAGTGTACTTGTCATCTTTTTTTGCTATAACCTGAAGCAAAATTGCTTTGTTCAAGATAATTTTTTTTAAATAATCAGTTGCTGCCTTCACCCATATATCTTCAACGGGAAATATATGCGCAAGTGAACAGCACATGGCTAATGCAGGCAACTCACAAAACTCTGGAAGCAAAGTTCTTACATCAAAAAATGGTATGGAATCAGTATTTCCATAATCCAAAAAATAAACATTAATCTTAGAACCATTAACTTCAGTGATGACAGCTCTATAAAAACATCTGTCCTTGCTATATCTCGCACAACAAAATAATCCAGGTTCTGGATTTCTTAGAATTAGTTCATCAGTTTCATGAAAATCATAAAATTTATTTATATTTTTCATTATATCTTGAAATTCACTCTGATGTTCATCGATGCGTACCCAGAAATTTGATGGGTTTAATATATATGCCACAGAAGCTATGTAGGCAGTGCCTATCTCCATTTCTGCATTTTTAATAGGAAAACCTACTTTCAAAGTATCATTTTTATTTAAAGAGTCTATCAACTGTTCAGTATTTCCAATAAAACTCTCAACTGCAAAGCTATTTACATCAGAAGCACTAGTGTCTCTCAACATATTAGAGATTTTTAAATCAGACACTGGACAAAGTACCTGTGTGCCTACAGTCTTCAGCAGACACTTAGAATTAATTGTAGACTCTTGAGTTTGTAACGTTACATAATACAAATGTTCATCCTTATTATGCCAATCAATGTGTGCATATACTATTTGCCCTAATAAAGCTTGTTTTAATACACTGAGTTGAAGTTTTCTTGCATCTATATCTGGACTATGAAAATATGAGAGAGAACATGGAAATGAAAATAATGGTACTGATATAAAATCCTGTTTAAGTTTTTTTACATGAATTGAGGGGATAGCCTCACTACTGCCATAATCCATAAACCAGATTTTCACGTGATTACTGGGCAAGAGCTGCTGAAGAATACCTCTGTGCCACTGCCCATCTCTCCGTCTGGCAACACAAAGTAGCCCAAAATTATCACACATAGGACTACTTTCCTGACTGGTAAGGTCATAATGTAAATTCATGCATATTGTTAAGTCTTCTAACTCTGGAATCCATTTAATTAACTGACAATAAAATTTACTTGGACTCAGTGCAGATGATACCTTTACACATTCAATACTACCTATTGACAAAGATGGCTGCAAATTATCCAAAACATGTTGGATATCAAGTAAAGTATCATTATTACTTATTGGTAATTCAGGTCTCTTATGTTGTAATAAATCAGGTATTTGTTGTGGGAATTCTTTTAACATTTCCACAATAAGACAAAATGAATCCCCATCAATAAGTCTTCCTAATTTTAATTCAAGAACCTGGGATATAATTTTTGGTACTTCAAGAAGAATCATTTGAAGAAGAAACATAGCTTGCATACAACCTTTCACTTGCAGTCCTACTAATGACTTGAAATAATTCAAAGCCCTTGGAGACCACTTCTCTCCAATTGGTAGTATGTTTGCAAAAACACCAAATACTATCCGTGGTGGTAGGTCAAATAACTTGCCACAGGCTGAAGCAACTTGCATACTACCGACTCTTAGTTCTTCTCCACGATCTATGAGGAGCACCGTATAGAGTTCATTTTTCTTTTCCAAAACTCTTCCTCTCTGCCATTCTCCAGATACTCTTTCTTCTACCAAACAATATTCATTAATGTCCACATTATTTTTTACTTTTGGAATATGCTGTATTTCCCTCTGTAATATGTGGTAGTCAAACTCACATTCGATATTACTTCTGCCTTGAAATTTCACCAGAATGTCCTTGGGACAAATTTCTATATGTGATATTGTCAGGTCAATATCTAAAAATGTTGGTAATGGAGATGAAGGATCCATGTTCTAAAAAGCAAATAATAAGTACTAATTAGCTTCTGGATAGTTAGCTATAAAAATTAAATAAAATTAGCCTTATATAAATATGGTATGTAAACTTAAACCTTAAAAATAATTATATGCCTGTATTTATCAAATTGGACATGTTAATAAATATTATATACACTGGACAAGATGATAGATAAACAAAATGCATCTACTGTTCACTGCCTTCCACATTTTCCTATTGAAATAACAATACAAAAATAGGAAATATATATGTGTATATATTATATACATATATATAGTGTATGTGTGTATATATATCGTCACTGTAAAACAAAGAACAATCTTTATTTTCCAGGAACTAACAAATTTCTTCTAGATATCAGACAGATGTGGTAAAAACAGAAGGAAGCCAACTAAAGCCCACTGGAGACCTCCCTCTGCTTCTGTGAGGAAACTACTTTCCCTCGTGCAGACTTCTTCCAACAACCTGTAGCTCAAAGGAGTGAGAGCTAGAAGCAAGGGCAGATGGAGAACCAATAGGGGACACTGTCTGCCCTCCCCACTCTGTGTCAATTAGTAATATTTGGACCCTATCAGCATCATTATACAACTCCAGGATTCTTCTCTGATCGAAAACAACAGGCAGAGACCCAGACAGAGCTAAGGAAACCCAGGCACAGAAAGACCTTGAGGGAGGTTAGGTATACCCAGGCTTTGTCCCTGGCATGGCTGGCCACAAAAAGATGGCAGAGGAAGAGGAGGAAGGGACAATTCTTTAGCACAGAGGCAAAGTTCCCTACAGTTCTGCTCATTTCTCTGTATTGTTAGAATTTTAAAAATAGCAAGGCAAATATTCAGAACTATAAATATTCTGCAAATTCTTGTAAGAACCAACATCTATTGTGACAGGATACAGCTCAACTAATATTTGGATCTGTGTTAACAGCTGACAATTATCAATTTCTTTTTATGAGGATGAGAAAAACATGGAACCTAAAAAAAAAAAAAAAGAGGAAACCACTTAAAAGAAACCAAGGAAACGTTCCCCTCAGGAATAAATGTACTAAAGGAAACAGCAAAGAATTGTTTTGCAAAAGTCTGATGCCTGTTTTCAAAAAGGTCAAAAGAGAATAATGCATTTTTATATGGCTAAGTAGTTATTAAGATGCCACAACTAAGATCAGGAAGAACTATATACACATAAGAAATTTAAAACTGCAAGGAGCCCTGGCCAAGTAGCTCAGTTGGTTGGAGCATTGTCCTAAACATAAGGGTTGCAGGTTCAATCTCAGGTAAGAACACATAGAAGCAGCAACCAATGAATGCATAAATGAGTGGAATAACAAATCGGTGTCTGTCTGTGTGTCTGTCTGTCTGTCTCCCTCTGTCTCAGATCAGTACATTTAAGAAATGTTTAATTGCATGGGAAAAGTTAACACAAAATAAAGATAAATGGAGTAGAAAAAAAACTTTTGAGAGAAAACACCAAGATTCAGGGGAAAAGAAGAAAAAGATCAAAGAGGAGCACGGAGGACAGGAATATAAAATCTTATCAAAGCATAAATGGTATCTCAGAGATAAAATAACAGAACAGGAACCTCTTCTAAGACTTAAAACCCAAATCCAAATGGAAATAGGCACTGGAAAGCTAGAGAAAGAGATAAGATTTAGGAATGTGAGTTCTGACCACAATTTTCATTTCATCCTAAATAATTAATTTGGTGTGGCAATCAGCAAGGTGTGATCTATAGAGATTCCAGGATATGCTTACTTGATCCTGGAATCTCTTAAGAATAAAATCAATGGACAACACACTACAGATTTCCATTAGAATAAACCAAAACACTTCAGAAGAAGACAAGCCTTCTAAAGCCACCATTGTTTAAGGCCAAAGGCCTTTACCCAATTTCCAGACTTTAGCCGATTTACAGACCTATAATTCCTTACATGAATAATGGCCAGGTACTCTTAAGAAAGGATCCTGTGCTGGATTACACCAAGAACATTCTCTATGGCAGTCATCCAAAGGGTCACGTGACCATTACCTGAGTAAATGGGAAAAGGAAAAAAGTACATAAATCTTTCAGAACCATACAGCTCTTTTTAAGCACAAAAAGCAGATGTAGCCAAAAGGATTCCTTCATTAAGTGAACATGGTCTATACCATGTTAAGCCAAAGAAAGCCCAAAGACATAAGGAAGTTGCATAATCAGATTACTCAATCTACCAGAAGCCTACTCCACAACTCTCTCTCCCCTCAAATACAAATGGCCCCGTGGGGACTTTCACAGCAGAAGTGGGGGAAAAATCTGAGCCTGGTTTCTCACCTAATGCCAGGAAGGTCCAGAAATAGATTGCTGACACGCTGCATCCCAACCTAGGGGAGGCTTTGCCTGAGAAACAAAAGGAAGTATTCACAGTTGATGAGACTACTAGTACTTTCCCTGTAAAAAAAATTGCTTGTGTTAATTGCACATTAATTGGCAACACCTAATAGTTTCTGCAAGATGATTAGTAATATTGAAAAAGCAAGACTAGAGGATTTACAATATTAGAAAGATGTCTGAAATATGTGGATGAGCCTCCAAAAATTGACACATAAAAATAAAGTATGTAGGTCTTACGTAATGCTCACTATGGAAAAGATACTTATGCAGGTAAACAGAATAAGCTATTCCATGGATTTCAATCAGTCTCCTTCACCTGTCTCTCCCGTGCTTGCTCAATAAAATCATGAAGTCCTCAGTGTCATGGATAAAGCTCCTACACCCTTGTGTATCTGAAGATCAGACTTTAACAAATCAGAGAAAATTATATACTCAAAAATTTTTAAAGGTTTCAGTACATTAGTTTAACTGATAGTCACGTTAATATTTTCATTTCTCAAATTAAAGAGTTGAAGGTAAAAGATTCACGACCTAAAGGCTACCAAAAAATATTGAAATTTTCAAAATCATAGGCAAAAAATAAAGCTACAACAAATTTAAAATCAATATAACCTACCACACAAAAGATTTGCTCAGACCAAGTATCTTCAATCATCCTTAACTCTTCTTTTTCGCATCCTACACACAATCCACCAGGAAATTCTACTGGGTTCATCTTCAGAGCATATAAAAATCTGACACTTTCTTCCAGCTCTGCTCTCTGGTCCAAACTACCTTTCTTTGTAATCTGTAACACCAGATTTCTAACTTGTCTTCCTGCTTTTATTCTTTTTTTCTTTCTTTTTTTTTTTTTTAACTGTTCAAATACATTTGTCTCTGTTTTCCCACCTCCACTTCCCCTACCCCACCCACCCCCACCTCCCATCCTCAATCCCTCCCCACTCTGGCTTTGTTGTGCTGGCTTTAGCACTCAGGGTGAAAACTAAAGCCAGCACAATGGCTTATGAAGCCCTACCTACAAGATCTAACCGCTACCAATGCCACCATGACCCCTCTCCCAATACATACACATTTTCTCTTACCTTATTCCTACGACACACATCATACCACAGCTACAGTGCCATACGATTCCTTGAACGCCTTGCCTCTGGGTTTGGGGCATATTGCTCCCAGAAACAACTTGCTCCCTCACCTCCTTCAAGCTTTTGTCAGAAAGTTTCCTTCTAGGTGATGCATTTCCTGACGACTTCATTTAAATCTGCAAACTTCCCCTAATTTAGAAGATTCTAGGTACCTCCTTAACCACTCTTTCTCTAGCACCAAAAAAAAGGGTGGGGGGCGGGGCGGGCATTAAACTATTGCTTCTCACATGTTTGGTCTCAGGACTCTTATACTCCTAAATATTAAGGATCCTATTATGGACTGAATTTTTGTGCTCCACCCCAAATTCTAATGTTGAAACTCTACTTCCCAGTGCGATGGTATTAGAAAGTGGGGCCTTTGGGAGGCAATTAGGATCATAAGAGGTCATAAGATGGAACCTTCGCGAATGTGATTAGTGCCCTCGTAAGAGTCACAAAAGATCTTGTTTCTCTGTTCTCTGCTATATGAGGATACAAGAAGCACACAGGTATCTATAAACCAGAAAGCAGGCTCCCAGCGGACGCAAGATCTGCTATCGCCTTGATCTTAGATTTGTCAGACTGCAGAGCTGTGAGAAATAAATTCCTGTGCTGTATAAGCCATCCAGTTTAAGGTATTTTGCAATAGCAGCCCGAGCTAAGGCAGGCGGGCCTCAAAGAGGCTGTTTTTGTGGCTTCTAACCTATCAACATTTACCATATTTGAAATAAAAACAAACTTTTAAAATATTTATTAATTTGAAAAATAAGCCCATTAAAGGTTACATAATTTATGAAACTATATGTTTCAAAACAAAAAGCAATTAGTGAAAAGAGTGACATGGTTTACAATTTTTGCAAATCTCTATGTCTGCTTAACAGAAAATTGCTGGATTCTCATAACTGTTTCTGCATTCAATGTGCTGCAAGAGGTTGTTTTGGGTAAAGTATGTGAATAAAATCTGACCATAAACAGATATATAGTTAGAGAAAGGAAAAGTATTTTAATAGCTTTTTCATATAACTGAGAATATTATTATTTGATATTCATAAAAACTCATCGAGTGGTCATTTCTTACAAGTTACTTAGAAATGGAATTTTAAACCATATAAATGAACTTCTGGTATTCTGTTACCCTAAAATCCTTTGGTCTACCTCGCATGTTAACAGAATTTGCTAAGTGAATGACTCCAATGATATTACATTGATTTGTTTGAAAATAGTGATTCAGAGTTATGCAGAACTTCCATATATTGACATATTGCATTACCAACATCTCAAATAGAATTAATATCACCACCAACCTCATCAGAAAGCTCAGATAGTGGGGAAACCCTCAAGCTTGCAGTTACAGGCACAAGTTTCCCAACCCCCTCACTTTGCCTTTAAAGCTTAAATTTTCATCATTGATAAACATTGTCAGTTGTTTTCTTTAATAAACATTGTCAGTTGTTTTCTTTAAAGTGTCAATCTTGCTACTCCCATTTTCAAAAAAAAAAAAAAGTCT